CTAGAGGAGTTGCTTCTACTATTAGGAATAATATTTCCTATATATATTGGATCTCTTATAATATTACTATTTTGCAAAAGAAGGTATATATTTAAAGGAAAAAAACAAAGAATTAAGAGTGGATGTTTCTTTAATTTGAAAGAAAATTTGGGACTAAATAGTATGTTTAGAATGACCCCTCTAGATATGTTTAGCTTATACATAAAGGGTTGAGTTGTAAAATTTTCTATAGCTTGGAACCAACCTTTTTCATGCGATATGACAATTAATATTTGTAAAATGATTACAAGTATTTTTTTGATGATTTTGATATCTTTTTGGAGGGAAGACATTGGCATGCGGTAAATAATGGACAATTTGGATTTCTTAGATCACCATCATATAACTTAGAAGGATGTGAAAAAAGTGAGAAAACACAATTAAAAAAAAATCATTTCCTATATTTAATCTGAAAATAAATTATTAATTTTTTTTATGTATCTGTGGTAATTTTGTCTTTTCTTGACAATTTTATGAAGCCTAAATGAGTTATATACAAAATTTGTCATTAATAAACTCTCTAAATTAAAGATAATTCACGTTGGGTATACATCATCCGCCTCATAATGTTAGTCACATTTATGTACATCGATGTAAATTTTTGATCGCAAATATATTAAATCTTACAATAGAAAAAATTATATAAATTAGATATTAATAATGCCCTCATCAAGCCAAGATAAATTAAATTAGATTTTATATGACTATTTATTCTTTATGTATAAAGAGAAAGTAGGAAGATATTATCTCATTTTTAATAGTCAAAAGATTCTAAATGTGAATAAGTCCCTATTCATTTCACCTTACGAAAATAATATTCAATAACTAATTTCGGTTCAACAAATATAATTCCAGTTCAGTAAAAATAAGTTCGGTTAGTTCAATAAAAATAATTTCAGTTTTGTAATAAAAAATAAGTAATGTTAAAGAAAAAAATTGTAATAGAGAATACATAAAAATTATTTCAATTCAGAAAAAACTAATTTCAACTCAGTAAAAATAATTTAAATTCGTCAAAAATAATTTTAATTCTGTAAAAATAATTTTAGTTTATCAAGAATAAGGTGAAGTGAACAGGGCCAACATTATGAAACTAAGGGAGTAGAAAGTATACACATATTTTTTTTCCCTCTAATTTACATTGAAGAAAATATTAAATGGAAAGGCACATAGGTGAAAAGGCACTAAATTTTCCTAATCACCTATGTTTCTTTAATTAAATTTCACCCACAGTGAAGAAATATTGTAAAATGAAGAACGGTGCAAGTGGAACTTAATTATGATTATATGATGTATAATTATGTAACAAATTAAAAGCTATGTACATATATTGTATTTTGGCCATTTTCCATAGACTAATTATCATATGGATTAATTGAAAATAAATATCTTTTGTGCATGGTTGACATTATAGATATAGTTGTGAACCAAGTTTACCGAGGGCATGTATGTTAAATGGTAAGCATACTAGGTTTCATGAATATTATATTACAAATGGTGGAAGACTGGAAGCTATAGTTGGGGAAATAGGTTTTGGGTGAAAAATCTCTTTTCAAGTTGGAGGGGAAACATTTCTCATGAACTTTAGTGTCATTTTATTTTAAAATATCCATTATAGAGTCATACACAAGTTCATTACCACCAATATGGATAATTATTTATTATCACCGACTTATAAGAGCTTGAACTGAGCTGAATTGAACCGAACCGAATTGAACTGAAATGGCTAAACTGAAATTAAACTGAAGAGAACAGGCCATAAAAGAGTAATAAATATAGATGATATTGACCATTTTAGTAATAACTATCAACAAACTTGAAGCTTAAGTGGGTAAATTATGCCCTTGTAGTGTATAAGTGCATTCCTCAACAGTCAAGACCCTTAATTTCATCCTGTTCTTCTTGGTCCACACCAATCTATATTAATATTATAGAAGGCAAATTAAAGGGGACAATATGCATGCAAATGAATGACTTGAAAATCTGGTGTGGTACAAATTACCAAAATATAGTTTTCCTTTTTTTTTATGAGCATGCAAAAATATGCTTTGGCAGGAATGAGATGACTACTCTATGATGTGGGAAGGAGATGGATCAATGCATCACTGCAGGATGGCTGGATGTTTTCATCAACAGCATCCTATACATTTCAAATTTTGGCCAGTGGTCCGTGGAGTGTGGGTTGGATTACTTCTTGTTCTTTGTAGTGGGCAGTGGCATTATATGTTCTCCCCGTGATCATAACGTTAGGGATTTATTAGGGTGTATTCTTTTCATCTGTAATCAAACTTTAATTTATTGGTTAATTTAAGTTATTTGAATTTATGACATAGTGAACTTTTTTTCTTTGTAAAATGAGGGAAATAAGAGGCAAGGAGAACCTCATGTTCATTTTCATTACACTTGATGGAAGTATAAGTTGAATTGAATAACTGTGCTATACTATTACATATAGTCATATAGTTTCATGGCTTTGTATTATGTTTGTTACATGTGTTGCTTGCTTTTAGGAAACAGTTATGAGTGTTGATGTCAAAAACTTTGTACAAGCGAACTTTAAATATATGGGTTGACTTTTTATGTAGCTTTAGATATTGAGTTCCATTCCATTAAAAGGTCACAACTGCAACAAAGTACTAATGTTATACAGTGTTGTTTATAATTTTTTTTTTTTTACAGTGTTGTTTATAATTTAGCCTACTTTAGTTCAATTTCATAAATTATGTACAATTAAAAGAACGGGACTTAATTATTTACTCTCGGTCCATTATTGGACTATAGAGAATTAAAAAAGTTTAACGAATCAAGTGGGTTCTGATTTTATTTAGTATTTGATAATTTGGGTTCTGATTTTATTTAGCATAGGCTTTTGGATATCACTCTTATCAATTGGGCTTATCACTTGTTTATAAACTTGGGCCTCTGTGTAAGGCTTTCCAATTGACCAATGCTTTACAAACAAGCTTATTGTGTCCACTAAATTATCTTAATATATTTGCTAATGTCATTAAGAATTAATGAGGTCTTATATTTGTATTAAGCTGCTAGGTGCTAGCTTCCTTTTCCACGCTTCTCTTATACAATTGTAATTGTCAAGTAATAAGCGCATATACAAGACTATTTGGAGTATATATTTGAAATTTGAAACTTATCAATTATCATGCTAGCCTATTATATTTTTCCATATGATATACTTATCCTATGTCTAAAAAATACCGTGATTTACTTGTATGATACATTTTTCAAGCAAGTTGATGATGTACACATTTTTTAGATCGAGTCACATAGTGCTCCACGAATTGGGAGGAGACTGGAACCTAACTATCCAGAACTAATATCCAAATCCGGATTATCCCAAAGGGTGAACCGGGTGGAACACCAAAAAAAAATAGTGCTCCACGAATCAACGTTACATGTTAATTAGGACTAAATTGAAAACCAATAATACAAGTACTAGTGTCCATTATATTAGGACTAAATTGTACAAAAAATGAGAAGACATACTACTCATATTAGTATTCTACTAAGCTAGTTAATTAGCTTGGTTTGTAGTATGGATAACTGTATAGAGGTTTGTAAAATGGTCAAAACTAATAAAACAAAGGCAGCAATCACGGATATGAAGGACCAAGGTGTGTTGAAATACGTATATTTTCAATGTAGCCCAATAAACATGCCAATCATTTTGATGATACATGTTAGCATCATCAAACAACTTGGCTAAATAACATTGGTCGATATCGAATGCTACTTCCTTGCCCAAATTGTTGATAAATGTAGCAATTTCAGCCTCAGTTCCAAAATAATTCTCTAGAATGTTCTTGTCACAAAGGTACTCCACGTCCTTAGCCGAGTTATTTGAATTTATGACATAGTGAACTTTTTTTCCTTGTAAAATGAGGGAAATAAGAGGCAAGGAGAACATGCCTTAAGTTCATTTTCATTACACTTGATGGAAGTTTAAGTTGAATTGAATAATTGTGTTATACTATTACATATAGTTTCATGGCCTTGTATTATGTTTGTTGCATGTGTTGCTTGCTTTTAGTAAACAGTTATGAGCGTTGATGTCAAATACTTTGTACAAGCCAAAAACTTTAAATATATAGGTTGACTTTTTATGTAATTTTAGATATTGAGTTCCATTCCTTTAAAAGGTCACAAACTCACAAGTCACAACTACAAAAAAGTACAAATGTTATATTGTTTATAATTTAGTCTTGTTTTGTTCAGTTCTATAAATTATGTACAATCTAAAAGAAAGAATGGGACGTAATTATTTACTCTCGGTCCAACTTTATGTCATTATTGGACTATAGAGAATTTAAAAAGTTTAACGAATCAAGTAAGTTTAGATAAATTGATCATTTGGCATTTGATAATTTGGGTTCTGATTTTATTTACATAGGCTTTTGGATATCACTCTTAGAAATTGGGCTTGTCACTTGTTTATAAACTTGGGCCTCTGTGTAAGGCTTTCCAATTGACCAATGCTTTACAAACAAGCTTATTGTGTCCACTAAATTATCAATTGGTATTACATACACCATGGTGCACCTTGAAATAGGTACACCAGACCCAATACGTGCCTAGCCCAGAAGGATCCGTGCCCAACATAAAGAAGCCCATGCCCAATAGTAAGAAGCCCAACCCTTTTTTTTTCACCATTGAATTTTGATATTATCTTTTTTCTTTGAAAATCTAAATTAAAACTTTCAACAACCTTTTCGTATTTAATCTTCTTCTTCTTCTTCTTCTTCTTCTTCTTCTTCTTTTTTTTTTTTTTTTTTTTAATTAAGATTATTTTTTGTTTCCCTAATTGACAATTTTGATTCTCCCTTTTTTCTATCTCTAAACTACTAGAAGCTCTCAAATTTTCAACAATTGAACTCTACTTTCTCTATCCACTTTAATATAAAGTTTATTATATTTTGTAAAATAAAAAATGGATTTTTTTTTAGCTTTTTGACCAATTTTGGTGGATTGTGCAATAAAATTAGCAAATCTAATGTTAATCGTTACATATTCATTACCTTCATATTTTTGTCCATATATTTCCTGTTTGATGTTCACATACGTTGTCTTTTATGTCCATATAAATGTGCTGTATGAAGAAATAATTTGTGTAAAAATTTATCAAGTATTTTGGTATGAAATAATAATTTATTTGGATCTTGTGTATTTTCTTCTTTTGTTGTTTAATATTTAATTATAGACCAACTACTGAACACCTTCAAGAATTTTCTGAATATCCCCCAAAAACTTGTGATAAATCACTAGAAGCAACACAAGAGCCCCTATAAACTTCTGATAAGCCCAAAGAATTTTCTGATAAGCTACCAGAAAACACTAAACCAACCTCAAAAACCTCTAAACCCCCTACAAAATCTTCTGAGCCCCAATTACTAACCACTGAACTCCGTTCAAAAACATTTTAACCACCTTAAAAAACCTCTAAACCCTCTACAAAAACTTTTGAACCTCAATTACAAACCACTGAACACCTTTCAAAAACATTTTAACCACCTTCAAAAATCTCTGAACCCTAACCACAAACCACTGAACACCCTACCAAAACACCTGAACCCCTCTACAAAAACTTTTGAACCTCAACCACAAACCACTGAACACCCTAAAAATACTTTTGAATCTCAACCACGAACCACTGAATACCCTTCAAAAACCTTTGAACCCTTTACAAAAACTTATGAACCCCAACCACGAACCACTAACACCCTACAAAAACCTCTGACCCCCCTATAAAAACTTCTGAATCCCAACCACAAACCATTGACCACCCTACAAAAACCTGTGAACTCCCTATAAAAACTTCTGAACCCCAACCACAAACCACTGAACACCCTAAAAATACTTCTGAACCTCAACCACGAACCACCGAATATCCTATAAAAACTTTTAAAGCCCCTACAAAAACCTGTGAACTCCCTATAAAAACTTCTGAACCCCAACCACAAACCACTGAACACCCTAAAAATACTTCTGAACCTCAACCACGAACCACCGAACATCCTATTAAAACTTTTAAAGCCCCTACAAAAGCTTCTGAACCCCAACCACGAACCACTAACACCCTAAAAAAAACCTTTGAACCCCCTACAAAAACCTCTAAACCCCAACCACAAACCACTAAATTACCCTACAAAAACTTTTGAACCCCAACCACAAACCACTGAACACCCTACAAAAAATTCTGAACCACAACCACAAACCATTGAATACCCTACAAAAACCCCTAAACCCCCTATAAAAACTTCTAAACCCCTACCACAAACCACTGAACACCCTACCACAAACCTCTGAACCCCCTACAACAACTTCTGAACCCCAACCACAAACCACTGAACACCCTTCAAAAACTTCCGCACCTGAAGACACTGCTGCTCAGCCTTTAGACTTTCCTTATAAACAACTTTATACGTTCTAACTGCAATAAACAAACACAGTTCATAATTATCATTACTGGAGTTCAAAAATAAAACGACAAAGTTCAAATGCAGGGTAAAAATGTTCATAATTACGTGTACAATTATTTTTTAAAAATCAAATATACATACTAAGAGAATTATGTAAATCGCAAAGGTTCATTAAAATAACCTAAGTGTTCATAAAAATAGAAACAATGTTCATAATATGATATTGCTAATAATAATTTTGATAATAAATAAAATGAAAAGTGCGAATTATATGAACAAAATGTTCAAAAACATGATATAAACAAATTATATTCATTAAATACAAATTAAAGCATCAATTCAACAATTAAATTATAAATGAAACTGAAAATAAAAAAATTAAGCAATTAAAATAAAAAAAGAATAACCATTATAGCTCAAAAGTCTTCTTTATAAGTTCCTATTTCTGACTTGTTCTTCATAGAGTTAGAGTAGATTTCTTCTTCAAATAAAATGTTAATAATTTTAACAAAAAATGTTCAAAATACCAAATTATGAACAGAACATTCATAATCATACTAAAAACAAACAAAACTCATCAATCCTTAGATCAAAGCTTAATTGATTGTAAAAGTGAATTATAAGAAAGTAGACCAAATTACAACTAATAATTGAAAGAGTACGTAGTTAGATTGCCAAATCATCAAAACCTCAATCAAATCCATTTCAATTGCAAAATCATTAAAATGCATTAAGAACATATGACCTAATTAGAAATTAATATCAATTGTAATAAAAAAAAATCTGACATACATTGCCGATCTCGTCAAGTATGTATAAGAATGTCTTCCATAGTGCTCAGTATTTTAATGGCGATGAATGAATTCATACAAGCAGAGTGATCAACTTATTGAGTTACAAAGTGATGAAGGAACTCAATCAAAGCAGAGAGAGAAGAACAGAGTAGAGAACAATTGAGGAGAGAGAAAGTGGAGGAAAGTTAAAGAAGAAGAGAAGATAGAATCAGAAAATTGGATAGATTTAAATAAGGAAATAGAAGAGCTTGGAAGACGCACAAAATAGAAAAGGAACAGAAGAACATTGAATTTTTGTGAATTACCCAATTAAACGCATCGTTTAATTAATGGTTCACACTGAATTACATGCAATGCACAAGGGTGCATGTTATAACTTGCGCTAAATTATCTTACTAGATTGTTATTATATTAGAAAGATATTAAATATATAATGTATATAAAATATACTTGTATATTTTAAGTACGTAAAGTTAATTTTGATGTCATAACTTAGACCCTATTCTTTTGAGCAGTTGTGGTCTGTTGTGGACTTGTGGTTTAGTTAGCTCTACTAAAGTTTTCTTAGCTCTAATCTACTGATTGTTAATAATCTTAGAGGTGATTAATGGGCGGGCCCATTTCACGGGCCGGGCCGGGTCAAGCTCCGGGTCGGTTTGTTATTAATCTTGTTAGTATCATGCCTAGGATCTTGCTACTATTATGCTTTTATGATTATTTTTATGGTTGTTATTATTATGATGATTATTATTATTATTTTTATGATTATTATTATGTTGCTTGATATTTATATTTATTGCTTGGTCACGCCTTTTATGCATGTTTAAAGGGAATTGGTATTTGTAATCATGCTTAATAAGATAATTAATAATCTTGTTTAGGATTAATTTGATTATAATTCAAGTGATCGCCAATAATAGATTTATTTGTGCATTAAATTCAACCAACATAGATAAACAGGTTTAGGGTAAACCTATTGATTGCATGTTAGACATAAAGCGCACATGAATACGATCTGAATAAAGTAGAGGCCTATTATTAGGGCAGGTTCAATCTCTTCTGGGTTGGATTTGTACCTTCATCCCCGAACCCTATTTGGTTCAAGACCTTATTGGAGTTGACGATCTCTTGGATCGTTAAGGGGTGTAACCTTCACCTCGTGAACGGTTTACAAGTTCCTAAAACTTGTTGGCGACTCTTTTGCTTCATCTTTTTTCCCTTTGGACGCCACCGTACTTTAGTGTATGATCACAGTGGGGTTCAAGGTAGGGGATTAACGCTTGAAATATTCCCTACAGAGATACACAAATCAGATCAGGGTGTTTTTATCTCTCAGAAAAAAATACACTACAGACTTGCTAAAGGAGTATAATATGCTTCGTGTGAAACCTTTAAAGCTGTCAATGGACACTCATTTAAAGCTTTGTGCCAACAGAGGTGATCCTTTACCAGACCCTACACCATACCAGCAGCTTCTAGGGAAACTAATCTTTCTTATAGTAACTAGGACTGATATCTCTTTCACTGTTCATATATTAAGCAAATATATGCATTCTCCAACTATTGTCCATATGCAAGTTGCAAAGAGACTGCTTCGTTATCTAGCAGGTACATGTTCTCAAGGCAACCTGCTTGCTTCTGCCTCTGTGCCATACTCACTACTGCTGTGACAGTGATTAGGCAAGTTGTCCAACTTCCAGAAGATCCACAACAGGTTACTGTATACTCCTTAGTTAGTCACCAATATCCTAGAAGTCCAAAAAACAACCTATAGTGGCCAAATCATCATCTCAGGTTAAATACAAGGCAATGGCTCTTATAGCATGTGAAGTGACCTAGATTAAAGCTATGCTTTAAGACTTGAACATGTCTCACTTAGCCTCAACTGTTCTCAAATGTGATAACAAAGCAACTCTAGCTATAGCAGCAAATCGTATGATGCATGAAAGAACGAAACATGTCGAGATTGATTGCCATTATGTCAGAGATATGGTCAAGGCTGGGGATATAGAACCACAGTATGTCTCTTCCTCAAGCCAGGTGGCAGATATCTTCACCAAAATTTTGTCTTCAAATAACACAATGGACTTCTACTCAAGCTGGGAGTCACATCTCCACCTTCCTCTCAGCTTGAGGAGGGGTAATGAGGTCAATATATAGGTCAATATACTGCTATGAGGATAATACAGTCATAGCAGCTAGTTTTTGTGATATTTTGTTATGCTTTCCAATTTGATTGTATTGATGGCTACGCTAGCCAATAATTAGCTGTAAGGATTGGCTGTTATTTTTTTATTCTAGCTTGTATATAATCTACTGTTATCAGTCCTTGAAGAATAATGAGAAATGACCTAATATTCTCTACTCTATTCTGCCTCATATCTTCTCTATTATCTCTGATTATTGTGCTAGTCCTCTTGCATCTATTTCCCTTATTTCAGTCTTCAAAACTACATTTAAATATTATATATCTCTCCTCTTGTGGTCCCCACCTAAATCCAATATTATTTAAATATTATATATTTTCTCTAACATTCATTACTTTTTAAAAATACTATTAACTCCACTACCTCTCTTTTATATTTTTTTAAAACTCCAACAACCCCACTTACCTCTTTTTTTGTTTAAGTCAATTAAATTGTCTAACACTATGTGCCGGTCAAACTGTAACACTTATTAATACACAAAGGTAATACTTTATTTATTTATTTCTAAAAAAAATCAATAACTAGCAGTCCCACTATTTTTTTTTCAAGGGACCGCTACTAATATTTCACTTTTTTTTTTTTGAAAACACAACTAACATTACATTCTGTGTAATTTTTTTTTGGACGTAGTATAATAAATGTCATATATTAGCACGGGTTCCTTTTATCAACAATTCACCATAGCACTCAAAATCCCCATTCCTTCAATTATATGCATTTTTTAGGGACTACACTCTAAACAACTTTCACTTCTCATATCATTAACACAAAAAAATATATATATATATATAGCACGCTTTTGCGTGACTGGCCTCACCGAATAACTGCTTGTAAAAGATCAAAGTAACTCATAAAGCATTGATGAAATCACCTTTATGATACTAATCAAGTATCATAATATGACACTGAAAAGGTAACCTCTATAGCTTTGACAAAGTAAGCCCCATAAGAGCTGGTCAAATTGCCTGGCCACCGACATATAAGAGTAAGACCCTTTTCTTTTGGGCTTCTGAGCATAACAGAGAAGCTCAGATTTCAGCATAGTAGACATTGTCGGATCTATGTTGGTGCACATTGAGTCACATGACTCAGCAATAACTAAAAAATAAATATTTTAAAAAAAACAAAATATCAAAGAGACCGCTTATTGTAGAGAGGCGATCTCTTTGATGCTATTGATTGTTACAGAGCTTTGCGCTGCATCAGAGTTTCCTTTTTAAAAAATATCAAAGAGACCATCTATTTAGGTAATAGGTCTCTTTGATGCTGCTATTGCAGTTCACATTGTAACGCTGCTTTTATTTTATTTTTTTTTATTAAAGAGACCGGTTATACTTAATAACATGTCTCTTAAGTTATCTCATCTTTTTTTAATTAATAATTATTAATAATTTTTGCTTCTATTTATATCCTATATTTGTGCAACTAATTTTAATATTATCCAAAAAATCTAATCAATTAAGTAAAAAATCATAAAGTTAATGTAATAGTTTTATATAATAGTACTATTTTGTAACATGTTATTTGTAACTTTCGGAACTTGTAAGATTGAATTTTGAAGTACTACGAAGTATTTGGTTGTAATATGGATTTTTGTGTCCTATTTTAGATTAAAATCAATTTGGTAATATATATATATATATAATTTTTGGTTTGAAAT